TGTGTGTGTGTTTGTGTGTGAGACAGCAGTGACTGAGCTGCCCTGTGATCACACACCTCCATCACAGTAATAACCTCCTGGAAAATGGATACAGAGCTCATCTCTCATCACACACAACATTAAACAGACAGAGGACCATCATCTGGAGTGTCATTATCTTTAGTTGCCATCACACACATACACCCACACACACCCACACACACACACAACCATGCTACTAGCACGCAGGGAATGGCATACATATTTGTCTTTTACTCATTTGCACTGAAGACAGAGGGACAGCATCTTTCTACTAAAAATGGGGTCAAGGGGAGGACAGGTTCCTACCGCAACTACACATATAATTTCCCACCCAGCCCACACCTGCAACATGCCCTAGATTACAAATTCAATTTACATGAGCTACATGAAAAAAAACAAAAAAATCCACATTTAAAACTGAATCGTAGATATTTAAGTGATTGCCTTTACTTTACTTTACTGTAACAGATGAATAACATGTGAATGTGAAGTACCATATGAATGTGTGGGAAATTGGCAATTATCTCATCAAATGATACGAAGCAACACTGTTCTCTACAATTAACTCCCTGTAGATAGACAAACATCTGAAGTGTATGTACACACAAACATGATGAACAATCATTTGGACAACCGTACCTGGACTGAGCTACAACTCCCACTACTTCAGCGTAGAGGTCGGCCACTATGTGCATGTTGCCTGTGTTGGGTCCCAGATACCTAAGAAGTCACAAAAATGAGTATTAACCATGTCTAGTGCTGTTATATTTGAAAATGTTGCAGTTGGTCAGAGAGTAAAAAGAAAGTATGCACTGAAACTCTAAACCGGTAAAGTGCAATCAATACATTCTAGTAAATTATTTGTTATTCTATACGTTATCACTCTTACCCTTCCTTGTATTTGAAGTGCTTGAAGGTCAGGTTTATAACTTCTTGGATGAGTCCATCCAACAGAGGATGGAGGGGGATCTGGATTGAGATTCAAACGTAATATTATAAATCCAGTCTTGCCATTTGATGGATTCAACATTTAATGAATTATTAATTAAAATATATGTGTCTTCGTATTCTTATTTTACTATTATATCTTGTATTTTTCCTAATCTATTTTTATTTAATGTGTATTCCATTGTGTTGTGTTGTTGTCAATTCTATCTTATTTTATCTTGTTTTAAATAAAACTTCAATCTATCCGGCTCAGTCTGGGAGCTCGGTGTGCATTTTATCTTCTTGAATCCAAGACTAGATCAATAATATGCAAATTACCCTTTTTTATTTGTTTTAATTTAGTTTAGAGTTTCACATGAATGGGCTGGGAAATACTGCAGCTGGACAACTGACGTCAAGTAGTTTCCTGTGACTGTTTTAACCCTTTCACAGCATCATGCAGACATTTGTATTAATAGTGTAGACTCACTGACCACACTCTGAGACTCACCTGCTTCAAAACTTCTATAAGCACTAGAGAAAAGATGAAGTCTATTGCTAGATCTCTCCGCTCCAATAAGTAGTCCTTCTGTTGCTCGTCACTGAGACAGACAGACAGACAGACAACAAAGAAACATTATTTGTCACATTCACAGTGTTGAGGCCCAAGTGCACGCTCCTGTTCTTGCCTCTGTGAGTACATGTCACACACGAGAATCTGCTTTTATTAAATTTCCATTAATCAATTAATTGTAGGCACCATCTGGTCCATTTTGTAACTGTGTGTACTCAGTGGTGCAGTTTGTTTGAGATTGGGAAACAGGCTCCTGCAAGAAGGACAACACCTTCAGTGCAGTTTATTTGTGTATGTTTTGAGTGGAAGTATAGTCTGCGGATTGTAAGGCGGGTTTGTATGGTAATATATAATTATATAGTCTACTGTATTGTATTGTATATTTTTTATTGCCTTTAGGTGTAAACACTTAAATAAAACAATATAAATTCAAAAATTCGATTATTGTTTTTCAGTTTCCAACTTTGTGGTTTTCATGACCATCATTACATGAAGATACATTTATGGTTTGTTAAAACCTAAACCTAATGATCCAGGATGAATAAATAGAATAATTCATGGGAATGTAGTGTAATGTCCATCTGACATGTGGTGATTTGTCTTTCGTGCATTTCTTTTGTATGTGTATGTGACAATTTAGTCCTCCAAATCTATTCCAATTCCTCAGATGAGTGCAAAGAAGAGTTTTACAATTGATTGTGTGTGTCATTTGTGTACTCTCACTTTTTTGACTTGGTGTTGGCCCTGGGTCGATATTCATGGGACTCGTCTTCCAGGCCGTTCTGCCTCTTGTACCAGTCAAACAGAGTCCTCAGGATAGATGGCAGGCAGTACTCTGCTAGAGAACTCATAGAGCTGATCAACTGAAGGTCAAGATGGCGGAGAAAGAGAGAGGACAGAATGACAGGTTAATCCCATTTCCAAAATAAAATGTTTGGATGATGATGAGGAAAAAAAGGACAGCACATGTTGCTGATGATGTGTCAGGTTACACACACCTGGTCAAACTGTGGGTCCTCTCCTCTCTGCAGAGATTTGTTAAGGGGCTTCTCCTGTGAGACAGACAGACGGGAACACATTCATGTCAGAATGGGCGAAAACAGGTAGACATTTTATTAGGAAAATTTGAGACACGAAACTCAAAATGCAGCAAAACTGTTGTAATCAAAACCCAGACTAACCTAAGTGTCTGTATTATCTGAATATGTTTAAATTCTATCTCTTAAATCTTTCTTAAATCGTATCTCCCCAGACTCCTGCATAGCCTGTAAATACTGACCACGTTTAAAGAACTGACTTTGTTATTTAGTATCAGACTAGGCGCTTAGGTACTAACCTTGTTATGTTCCTTTCAAGAAACATATCAAATGTTCAGGCCTACTATAAGTGCCATAAATATACAAAAACAGACAAAAGGCCACACCACTTAGGTACACATTATGGATTGTGCTCAGACATTTGGATTTATTTAGAGTCAAAGAAGCCCAAATAGTCCCTCATATTTCTTTCAAATTACCTTTTTTTCTAAATGACAAAAGAGATGAGAGACTCTTCACACATATTTGGTTTACGACATCTACATGGCAAACCATTAACCTGACGGTATGTTTCATATAGGTTGGTCATATGTCTTCCTTTTCTTGTGGTTTAGGAATTCACCAAAGGAAACTGCCATTTCTAAAACAATATATTAAAGGATGCTGATGTTATACTATATAGCAGCACATTGCAGGTATCACTTCCTCTGCACAAAAATGGTTAGTCAACATATACTGCCATAAAAACCCACTCTGAATAACACAATCAGATAAAATGTCCAAAATGTATTCCTGACCTGCTGTAACCTGAGAGAGAAACGGAGACAAAACAAGATGAGATATTATCGATGCAAAGTCACTCACCAGTGGTTCGGCCATGATGATGCGAATTTTGCGTTCGGAGAGCAAGGTGAAGTTGGCAAACAAGCTTTTTAGGACGAACTCGCCCGGCTTGCTCTCAGGGTCCACGTTGACAGGCGCCATGACGACAGGACCCTTCCTCTCTCCCAATGTTCCACTGACTGGCGGGAGGGGTGGCTTCAGTCCCACTGGAGAGGCTGGGGAGAGTCAGGACAGGTCAGTTAGTTTAAAGCAGGGGTCTTTCAGGGAGTAAGCTGTGGTTTGCAACTTTAGCGTAATTTTTTATGCCTATATTTGTTTACATTTTGGCTAACTGGCACCATTAAAAGTATGCTAAATTCAAGTCAATTTATGGATATTTATTCAGAATGGACAACAGAGATAAAATCATACTCAATCTAAAAATGCGAGTCTTTGACTGAGTAATGACTTTGAGAAGGACTCAGATTATTTAATTCCGACAATTGGGCGCTCTGGGTTTTAAAGCACGTTATCTGCCTCCATGAGCTTTGTGTCACAACCACTGCTGCAGCTCCAACTGTTGACCGGAAACCATGACACAGAACTACTTCCAGTTGTTTTTAAGAAAACCCAGCCAATGCAGCTGTCCATATTTGCCTCAAATCTCTCCCTTCTCCCTTTCCGTTCTCCCACCTTACAGTTTGAAAACTGGGTTAGGGTCATGTACTGACACCTCATGTTTTTCTTACATATAGCTATGCATTCTCTACATCCTTCTAGGACCATGATGTATCCCTACATTGCAGAGAAACAGCTGAGAACCACAGATGCTCTCTCCAAGCGCTTGTCTTTTATAAATCTCATACTTTCATTAACAAACTTTTATCTGTCAGAATACACATTATTCTCCCTCTGTAAAAAAGTTAAAACTCCTGAGCTGCGACTCATTTATATTAAGTGTGTGTTTGACATGGTACAACACACACACACAACACACACACACAGCACACACACACACACTTTTCATTTCTCCCTTTTGATTACATCATTAGGGAGACTGGGCACTATTGATTATTCCAAATGTAATGATAAACAGAAAGATAAGACAGTGAGTGGGTGGAGTCTGGAAGGGGTTTGAGTGAGGGACAGACAACAGTCGGACAGACAGATATAAGGAGGGAGAGGGCATTTCCTGTCATGCGTCTCCAGGAATATTGACATGCCCTTAAAATAGAACCACATAGAACATCGCTCTAAGAAAAAGCAAATCACCATGGCATCAGCGACTGGAAAATGTGCATGTTGCACTATGGCCTACTGTTACTGACAGTGAATGCACAGGTCAGCCAATACAGTTAAAGAAAAAACCCAAACACATACCTAAAGACATACTTAAAAGTAGTACATTATTAACAACAGCTGCAACAATAGCCAATAAAGGAGGCGTGTGTGACTGCAGCAAATTAGCAGGTTTGATTCCCTGTGCGTAAAATACTTTCTTACAAGGTGAAACAAAGCAATAATTCACAAGAACATTTCCCAGAAGTGGCTAGTGTGTGTGAGGTAACAACTCTGTCAGACCTAACTGACCTTTCATGACCATGTGACCTGACCTCGCTGGAGAGGTGAGATGTAAATGCTAATGCGTGGACTCGACAGGCCTCCAGGGCTCAAAGACAGCGACCTGTTTGTGTGAAATCTGAGCGCTCTAATGACGCAAACACGCGTACACATGAACACACACCCCTAAACGCTTACCAAGGCCCTTGATGAAGCTGATGACACTAGCCCTGCTCCATTTAGTTGGCACTTCCATGGTGCGGGCAGAGGGACAGCGGTACAGTGGGTAGAGGTGGGTAAAATGGGCAGAAACAGTGGGATGGAGGAGGAATGTAACACTGGGAGAGGGTATGAAGCTGAGGAGGGGTAGCTGAGTAGTCTACAAGGTGTACAATACGGCTCCCATGATTGACATATAAAAGTAATTCCTTGCTGGATATCAGCGGCGCGGAAGACGTTTGTCTTTAATATCCAACTATTCCACCATGATAGTAACTACAGACAGCACAGTTTAGGCACGAGGCAGGTTTAACCAAAGCTAAAAGTGTGGAGCTCCATCCTTCAGAAAATGACGAGCGGGTAAAGTGAAAAATGTGTGCCTGAGGCGGGAAACTCTCATGACAGCTATATCCCACATTCAATCCAAATGAAACAGGAAGATATGCTGGATCCACAGACCGGAAGAGCCATAGCCAGGGTAGAGCTGCCCGGGTGAGGACGACTCGACGCCTCAGAGCAGCGAGTGTTGCAATCACAGAGGAAGAGATGGCGTCAAGGTGTCTTGTCAAAATAACAGAAGTCGACTTATTCCGCCGTGAGTGAACTCTACCAAAAGGGTTTGAGAGATATTCCACTGTACTGCTCCAGGAGAGGCTTGTGTAGATCAGACGCTGCGTAGGGCCCCATGCTTGGGAGCTATATGAGCCTACAGACCAACTATCAGTTTCTACTTCAGCTTCTGCTCCGCCTCCGGTCTGCCATCACTTTTCACTGTACGACAGCTCCCGAGACCTTTGGAATCCTTGCATTGCAAAGTTGTATTGAAATAAAGTGCTTCTTTGAGAGTGGTTTTGTGGCTGTCCTTTAGTTGTCAGTAGCAGTTAAGTAAAGTCTGCTCCTTGTGGAGATCTGACCAGAAGAGTTGGGCTGGAATTTCAACACTGCCCCGAGAGAGAGGCGAGGGGAGGAGGGAGGCGCTATATATAGACCACTGGAGGTCACTCTCTTACATACCCACCACTCCCACTGACCCCTACTCATACACAAGTGCACACACGCACACACGAAAACAGACACACTCACAGGAACACACACGCATATGTACAGTTTTCTGAAGCAGACAGAGACAAATCAGGAAAATTCAGTAATAAACTACAAAGCAAATGGCACTGATCCAATTTAGTGAAGGTTGACTATTTCATTAAAGCTTGTCAGTGACATGAATTTAAGGTGTGTGTGTGTGTGTGTGTGTGTGATATGTGTACATGCATGTGTGTGTGAGCCTCATGCATCTCGTTGGGAAAAGAGCTTAGAGTAGGAAGACGTAACGGTGTCCGATAGAGCTGTCGATATAGCGCACCAGAGCACTTCACAGGACCTTTGTAGAGATTTGCATGACTCAGCATTTTAAGAGCTGAATCAGCAGAAATCTGTTAAGACCAGTCAATACAAGTCCACGTTGGTTCAATCACATTTTATATCCTAAAAGGTTTATTTAACATAAATAGTGAGCACGACTGAGACAAGGAAAGAAGAAATAAAGAAAGAAAATTGCAAGGTAGAGAAAGAAAATATGAATGTGACGCATAAGAAAGAAGCAGAGAGAGAAAGGAAGGGGAGGATAGAGAGCCGAGTTGCAATAATTAGTCAATCGACAGAAAATTAATCAGCGATTAATTTAATTAATTTAATACATTTTTTAACAAAAATGGCAACTATTCCCTGGTTACAACTTCTCAAATGTACATGATAGTAAACTCAATATCTTTTGGTTTTAGACTGTTGGCTAGACAAAATAAAGTTGTTTTTTGTTGTTTTCGCACTTGCCTGATAATTTACAGACAGAACAATTACTCAGTCGGAAAAAGAATCGGCTGGTAACAAAAATAGCCGTTAGTCGCAGAAATAGAGAGACCACTTAACATCTAGATTCAGGCTTACCTTACCCATCATGTCATACCGATACACAAGCATAATGAAGTTTTGAATCATGACTAAGATTCATTGTGTGATAGCACACATTGTACGCACCCTGACACATCAAGAATGCAGCTACCAAACAGAATTCGTCATATAGAGGTTGAAATTAAGTTTTCTTGGGTTATAAAAAGATGAATCAATCCTGGTTGTACATTTTGTTGGCAGTGTCTAAGTAAAGTGGATTGCGATGAGTCACTTTTAAAAGCACAGACAATTACCACAAACACACACAGCGGCTGCCCTCGACAAGACCTAGCAGAACCAAACCTGTATATTGTCAGAGGAGGCAGCTGACAAACTCTCATTGTGTGTGATTACTGTATTCTGGCATTTTCATTGTTTCCCATTAAATCCCTTAAAGCATCGGAAAATGATAACAATAAACAGAATTAGCTGGCAGGTTACAAACACTGTTTTCATTTTGATAGTGGAGCGAACCTTTTTGTTTACATTTGGATTCAGGATTGTTTTATTAACTATCAATACAAATTATTATGAAAACTAAAAACTGGAAAATTGAAAAACATGAGAATAAAATCCTGTCGTAAAATGTGAGCTAGCTTGCTTCAACTATGTGTGTTTTGATGTTGCTGATACAGGCCTACACATGACTATGTCAGTAAGGCTGGCATGAGATGGAACAAGTTCAACTTGATGAGGTCAGCTATTTATCTAGTGATTTCATTCGATAAGTAACTCACGCCTGACACACAAAGCCAACTTGGACTTATAAAGGAGTACCGCCTAGACTTGCTCTCTTTGAAAAGTGTCCTGAGATAACTTCTGCTGTGATTCGGCACCATCCCAATAAACTGAACTGAATTATCTCGGCCGTTTCTTGGCTTTCTAAGCTGCCATCGTTATCATGACCTTGGAGCAGACAAAACCTACACCTATCAATTTGGTCCTATAGCTGAAAGCAGACGGAGCCTAAATGAAGAAACGCATACACCATCAGGGCCCTTGTGATTTCTGGCTTTATTTCATCACATTGAATGGCTGGGGGCGAACCATCAACACATGCTCTGCAATCCCTCTGTAACCCTTACACCATCGTAACCCCTGCTGACAGTAACCTTCAGCACACACCTAATATACAAGCTCCCCACAGCTGCCCTGCTAACCATACACACGCCAAAACATCTTCATGTTATCTACTGAAAAGAGACACACACACAAGACCATTAAGCAACTGAGCACATAGAGAGCTTTTGTATAACTCTTAATTTAAGAGTTATATGTTATAAAAGCACCCACACATATATATGCACAAAATGATAGTTAGTGTTCAGTCGTGTATGTGAAAATCACAGATGCGCAACAAGAGGAAAGTCCTCTTGATCAACAAGAAAAACACTGATGTTACAGTAAACTACAGGCTGTGTGGTAATGACTATATTGGACTAGTGCTACTACAACGTGTCAGATTTATGAGCCTATAGCTGAAAGTGGATGGAGGTACAGTATGTCCAGTCTG